GAATTGAAACTGCTGTATTTGCCAAAAAGCCTATTGCTTTTGAAGACCGCTCCACAGAGGTTGCACTGTAGTTACAAATCACAGTCATACTCGACCAAGATAAGGGTATTCTACTCTTCTATAGCTTGATTTTACCTAAGGAGTTCAAAAGCCATTATCATATTCAGGAACGTTATAAAAAGAGATTTTATAAGGGCATGCTAAAGGTTATTACAATTTATAAACAAATGTTAGATATTATGAAATAAATAATATACATATATAAATGATATCATGTATTGTGGGTTGAATGTGTTATTTGCAAAAATGAATTTCTGAAAAGACAGGCAGACACTCGCTCACTAGAAAATATTAAGAAAAGGTATTATGGCATTAATTTGATTAGATAGGCCTTAATTATTACTTATATGGATTCTTTTTATCAGTTCATTAAAAAAACTGTTGGACATTTGACGAACACAATTGGCCGACCTACTGACACAGTGAAACATGAAATATGAAGAGTGCTGCCTTTTAGCATGCGCAATGCATTGATCTGCTCGATTCTTCTCTACTCTATTCATTTAAAAATCTCCAAATATCTAAAATCTCAATGTTTAAGTGTTGAAAGTTAGCGCTATTTTAAGACAGGTAGTGACTTCCCATAAAGAAGTCCAAACATGTCACCAACGTATGTACACGCACGACTGCCTTTTGTTGCCGAGTCCTTCCTTGGAGACTAAATTGCGTGAAAAAAGTGACAAGAAAATCATTTTATACCACCTCGGTCTAATTATGACGTGGTAACTTTTTATATTCTTCCATCTAATGGAAAACTATCCACGCCAATGAACCTTTTCAGGGATTAATAATAAAGTAGAGACAGCTCACTATTTAGCGCCTGGCTTTAATGAAGTTGATGTGATTGAGTACGATATGGAAAAGTTAACGGGATTAGAGGTGTATGAATTCAGGGAGGAAACAAGTTGAATCACGTGACCGATTGACTGAGGAATGTAGGATGAATGTGTGTGGCATATAGATTGACGTACTGCGAGAACTTGCATGTGTGGCGGAAAGTGATGTCACATTAGATGATGAATTGACTTGTTTGATAACCATAATGAAAAATAGAAATGTTGTCAACACTGAGATTCTATTATATTTCATACTGGTAAATTTACCAAGAAAAAAAAACTTGACTGTTTGTTTAGCTTGTTTAAGGTTATGGTGATGCACGTCCACATATTCTTTGATATGTTCAACATATATAAAAATTTGTGGAGGCCGTCGGGCAGTCACGGAAATAAGGACTTACATATAAAAATACTTTCACATTGAAATTGTTTCTGAATATGGCACACTTTCAATATTCCACCTGGACTCAAAATGTGACTCAACGCACATTTACTTGTGCCTTCTAGGTGCCCTGTTGTTGTGGCTGGAGTGTGTCTGTCAACGTTGCCTTTGCCTTGTTGATCTTTGTCCTCGCTTTTTTTCCTGGTGTTATTTTAATACAATACAAATTTAAGGTTTAATCACGTTCTGCGTAGGGAGCTAATTTCCACCAAAACATGTTACTGATACACATCTAAACCTTATTACATTCTATATAATGTTGCTTGAAAATTGTATTTTAATGTTATAAAGGACACCCTTTTCTATACAAGCAGTCTAGCATAAGTCCAATTACAGTTTAACAGCTGTTTGCAAAATCTATTGCGGGAAAAGACAATACCTTTCACCATAATCAAAAGGAATGCATGCGCATTCCTATCGATGTTAATTTTTTGTACTTGTAGTTTTTCGTGCAATATGTGCTTTTGAATAAAGACTGTATTAATATAACTCACTTCAATCATATGCCGTCACGAATTCTAAAATATCTAGCAATCAACAAAGCTTTAGCTGAGGTTGATGGGCCAATTTAGGATTATAATTGCGTTAGGATTAACATCTATGCATGTGTAAGCAAGATTTTGTATTGGTATAAATGTCAAAATGTGTTCGCACGCTATACAAAAGCTATGCATGTAGATTGTAGAATTCTATGTGTGAGTAATCCTCCGTACATACTATAATTCTTACTGTTATATGCCAATGCATATGTGTGATGGTTACTGAAGAATATGAACGCTTGCAGAAGGTACATTGAGAAAACTCTGCTCTGCCAGTAAGCACAGCTTGAAGTATTATTTGACAATTAGAAGTACAATTATAAGAATCAATAAAGGAATTGTTTGATTGGAAAAAAATCTTATTTACCCGTTCATCTAATGTGTCCAGCATATGTTATCAGAGTATAAGATTTCATGTTTTGTATAGCATTGGCACTCTGTTTACTCTCTAAACTAGAAGGTGTGGCTATAATGAAAAGATAAGTCAGACATAGCACCCGAATATTAACCGTTATGAAAAAAAGCAATTGTTCAAGACGATTGCCCTTTTCAGTTTGCATTTAGCAAACATAAAACATGATCTAAACAAGGTGTTGCTAAAGATTTTAGGATTGTGTAGAAACTAACACCCCATAATAATAATAAGAATATAATGCTATAGTATTATTTCCAGATTAGAGACTTTCTAATGATGAAAGCCGCCATGTTTTAATGATTTTCAAGTAACATCTTGTCCATAACACGTTTCCCTAAGAGTTGGCGATAAATTATTTTAAGACCCATTGATTACAACGCTTTCAATAATGAAGAGCATAGCTCGGTGTTAGCTCTACAAGTATTTCTATGTGCAAGTCATATCATATGACATGGTAGATTTTGCCTCATGTCAATAGTTTACATAAACAGTTCTCATTATATTTCAACATGGCGCCATTTGTAGGCTGTGACATAGCAAATATGATGTCTTCTTCATCAGTATACAAATATTTGATCAATTTTACCAGTAAGTTTATCACCTGAGATGGATCAAAGAGCACGAATGTTTTAATATTGTACAACACAAATTTTAACATCATCTGCTAAACAAAAGAATATTTTGGCCGAGTGAATTGTTTACTTCCGTATTGCACATATATTAAAAAGTAAAAAAGCGATGGAATCCAAAGCAAAAGGTCGCCAATCAAGGATTGGCGACTAAAATGATTTGCTAAAGTGAGTGAGTAAGTGAGTGAGTGAGTAAGTGAGTTGTCAAACATTGCTTCAAAAAAGGACACGACTAAAATACAAGCAATATTGGTGTGAATGGAAACATTAGAGAAAGGTTTGTTAGTGATAGGGTTGTATATATTTGCACGCTAAGAAACATAACATAGAACAACCAATCAGTATAATACCTAGTCTTATTGGTTTTATAAATTATGTTGCAAGATCGGAAATTTTTGGAACTACATGTACTTCATGCTTCACCAATTGTAATGCATACATTGTGCGTGTGCTTTGTCCTTTTGTTGGTGTTGAGAATGAAATCCGAAAAAAAGTATATTGTAACATGTAAACTTGTAAACATGTTAACTTCAGATTTATCCATATCTTCAAATGTTACACTGTTTTCCCCCACAATACTTAATTTTTCTGTCAAGGAGGGAAATATCGCCTTGACACAGCTTTGATTTTTTTTTGGTTATACCTTTTCAGGGTTGATGTCCGTTTCCAGCTGAATGGTCACAATACTCGAAAAAAAAGTCAGTGTGACATGGTCCGGAACATTTGGTCTTCTTACTGGAATAATCAATGATTTGATAAAGAGCTTAAGAGAAAATGAGTAATACGTAAGAAAAACGTAAATTTTGTAGATCCTGTATTAAACATATGTTACTAACCTGATAGAATGCAAAGCATTTCTTTATGCCGCTGTTCAAACGCTTTTTTCTTTATTGTTTTACGCTGAAAGCATTATGCTCTGAAGAGATTCTAACATTTGCCCTTTTATATATTGGCAGTCTGGTGTAACAGTAATCAAGGTTTTCACAGCTGTCTACAGGATCGATGAAGAAAGATAATAATTCAATTTACAATTAAAAAGGAAGAAATGCATGCAATCTACAATCGATGAAAAGAAATCTTACGTTTTCTTTGTAGTGTTCTTTCAATCTATATTACGGGTTAATGGTGTTGTTTTAGACATGCCAGATATGGTTTATGTACTGAGATAAATCCTTGTTTGTTGCATGTTGTTTGAGTAAGAAAGCGAAAACTACTCTAATCTATACAACAATTTGTTATAAATACATATTCATATAATTATTGACTCTATAGGACATGTAGATACATGTATATGCGTCGAATTAAATACTTGCACCTTTCAAAATATATTTTACAGCTATTGTTCTGAACCAGTGTCTGTTTGTGCGTCCTTTGAAGGTGCAGATAAATTGTCAATGTAAAAAATGAATTGTTTCAATTTTTTTCAATTACTGCAAAAATTCTTCAGTCAGTATATTTCTTGTATATCCCTTAGAATGTCATTTCTCTGGTAGGTATTTTAGTGTCTACATCAGATTTTTTTTTCAAATTAATGGTCTTTTGAGAAAGATGTTGTGTGTTTACCATAAGAATAAACATAATGTACCAGGTATATTAATATTATAAGGCAAGTTCGCATATTCATTCTGTATATGTTGCCATTTAATAGGAAAAGTAAATTTGTTTAAAATAATTTATTCAGTGCCTAAAACGTCAAAAACCTAATCTGAGCAAGATGTCTCAAAGACATTAAGGGATTCCTAGTAAAATAACACCGCATAATAACAAAATAATGCTATAGCATTATTCCAGATTAAAGACTTTCTAATGATAAAAGCTGCCATGTTGTAATGATTTTCATGTAACATCTTGCCCATAACACGCCTCCTATGAGGTGTCGATAAATAATTATAAGATTTATTCATTGCTATGTTTTCCATAAAGCAGAACATACTCTGTATTGGTTGTTATAAACACGCAGAAGTTGACGCATGCGCTGTGCTTTCCAAAATAAGAATTGAAATCAAAAGTCTTAGAATATCTGTGAAAACAAATACTTTATTATAACTTCTATCAGTTGAAAGTCACATATATATTACGAAGTAAATACAACTCACAAAGGGACATCCAAAAGTACATTTTATTCATTGCTAACTCGCATCTATGTCCTTAAAGCGGATGTTTTTTCGCCTCGCAGAGGGGTTCCCACTTGCTTCTCCCTAGTATTGACTCTTTTGGATCACTGTAACAATACTATGAAGATTAAAATACTTCTAAGGAAGGTACCAGACCGTGAGTGGAGTGGACTGTGCTTAATTTACCAGTGAAGCTAATGAAAAGATCAGACCAAGACGTGTAAGTTCTAGCTTTGTTGTAAGAGTTGTTCAAATGGAATTCGTCCTTACTTTTACAGCTTTTTGAAATTATCTCAAAAATACAAAAATGTGCATTATGAATATATTCAGAATATTTTGTGGGATGGTTTATTTAGATGTTAATGTACAATTTCGTATTAAAGTCAAGATATATGTTGATATACTGATATCCGTTAAGTTATCATTTAACACATATATCTGTATCTTAACAACTGCAATAATAATAATTAAAAAAACAACAACATTTTTTCTACCCTCTTATTTATGGCAAAACATTCTTGTCAGTTTTTACAAATATATGTATTTGAAAATTTTCAAAATGTTGTCAAGTATACCAAAAATGAATAAATCATGCCAGAGGGACTTCAATTATAAATATATATTCAGAAAAGGCTCTTACTCCACCACTTACATGATAGAAACCTTTTACACGTCATATATACATCTGGTCATATCATAAAACAAAAACAGTTTCATACATGTCTTCAGTTACTTCCAATGGTACAGTTTGAATACAGGCATATTTATACGAATGAAATATTTGCTCTTTGTAGCCCTCACTCAATGTATATGAAACTTATATCTTTTTTAACTATTTCAGATTTAGTATACAGCATCCGCATTCCGGAAAGCAGTTTATTTGACAGTTTCCGCACGTTCTGTAGGAAATGTTGTTTCCCTAATGATCCTTTGCTGACGAACTCTCTTCACAGTGTCTGACAACTCACATCTTCTATGCTCGTTCCAATCGACACTAATCTGAAGACTGTCTTGAAGATTGTCATCCGAGGGATAAGGACAAATCTGAAAGAATTCAATATAAATCAAAAGGGATAGGGACAAATCTGAAACAATGCAATAATAATAATAATAATAATAATAAATAAATAAATAAAATAAACAAACGGGATAGGGACAAGTATCAAATAATTTAATAAAATCAACGTGATAGGGACAAATCTGAAACAATTCAATAAAAACCAACGTGATAGGGAAATATCTGAAACAATTCAATATAAATCAACGAAATTAGACAAATATGAAACAAAATTTTATATTAATCAAACAGGTAGAGACATTTCTCATATAATTCAACATAAATCCGAGGAATAAATCCGAAATCATTTAACAGTAATCAAAGGTGTAGAGATATATTTGAAATTCTATATCAATCAGAGGCAATTGTTTTTAAAAACATTCATTCGCTAAGTACAGTAGTTAATTTTAAATTTATACACAATTTTATATCAATACGTTATATTTCAAGTGTTCCATTAATTTCTACCGGGCAGTATACTTCTAACTGTTGTGTTGCAAACTTGGTTTGAATAAACTTGCTCATGGATGGCAATAAGGCTTCGATTACTAATGCTACCATCCATGCCTAAGCAGAATCTGACAAATAAGAATTATTACGTAGTTTTTACTCACGTGGTGTTTAAGCTTCCGGTGTAATTTCTCTGGACAATTTTGCTTGTAGAACTGTTTGCTAATCAGTACACAGTCAGCACCGTTACTGACAATTATCATACTTGGTTGGTCGTCTATCAGCACATCAGCAACGCCCTTTTATTTAAATAAATCACAAGTTATCACTTGTTCAATTTTGTGCAATAGCTTTTCCTACCGTTGAGTTTTAAGTCAAGTTTAATTAAATGGATGTAAGAAAGAACTTAGAATAATTTCAGGTTCTCCAAAATGTCAAAGCTTTCAAGAAATCGATTTTCTGGCAGGTATATATTCCATATAAAATTAAGTTAATCAATTTTTATAGTATATATAAGTTATCACACAATCTAAAAATATTATTAGATTGATGATATGAATACATACCCAAACATCCCCTTTAATCAACGTCTGTATATGTACAAATTGAGGATTCAAGTCGATCTCTGTCAGCTGTAAAACATCATATTGATGGTTAACATAATTTTTTTGGTTGAAATTCTGAACACTTTTCATTATCTATATTTATTTAAAGAAAAAAAAACTCAATTAATATGTAAATTAATCAATTAATAATGCAATTCTATTTTGATTTAAAATTTTACAAAACCATAAGCTTATCAAGGAAACTTTATGTCAATATCTATCATTAATTTTGTAAATACTTACAGGTTCTCCTCCATTGCGAACCTCAGCTGCAATTGTTTTTAACCGTTCGTCAAAAACACTGGTTGGCGTTCTTGGAGTTTCTTCTGTACCTAGAATTAACCAATTAGAATGAAAGCTAATTTAATTCGAACATAAATTTATCAAAAGAACCCGATTGTTTTTATTGTTTAATCGATCGTACCACCTCTCAATATAAGTATCACTCTATCTCAATGAATAAAATAAATGTGAAATTAAAAAAGTACAAAGTGTAAACGTACGAATTTTACATACCATTAGGTGAGGTAAGGATCATTCTAAGCGATACATCTGACACATCAGAACCGGGGGATGGTACAGAGCGGGTCACTGAACTAGGCCGTACCTGTTGCAGCTCTGGAGCAGTGGTTGGGGGTTTGACTTCTGCTGTCACCGTCTTCTTTTTAGGTCCTCGCGCAGTATGACTGACAAAATCAATGAGATAATAATCTTTTTTTTCACAGTATGGCTTCACATTATGAAAATAAATGTAAAGATCACTTTAAAAAAAATTTACGCATACGGCATGTGTATTATAGGTCTTGTAATAAAAGAATGTTGTAACAAGATTTTGAAATAACATCCCTCAAATTAGTTCGTCACATTGACAGTCACGTCGGCAAATTAATCGAAATTACTTAGATGGTTGTAGAAATTCACAGCATAATATAACCATTTTGAAAGTTAACATTAAATTGTCTTAGACAAAAAATCTCTATATAATAAATCAATAATATATATTTGTGAAGGACCTTGATTCAAAGAAATTCGCGACACAACATGTATAGCTTACCTTGATATGGTATATAGGAACTGCTTGTTGATGTTTGAAAATGCGGATTTTTCCTCTTCATCGTTTGAGCTTCTATACGCCCAAAGATTCGGGTAATAATACTTCTGGTTTTTGCCATCAAGGGAACCAGCCCCTTCCATGTGAACTTTGATATCAGGATGCTAAATGTAAATGCAAGTGCAACATTAATTGTTATTTGTCTGAATATTAAATCAACAGTACCGCCTGTACAAGTAAAATAGCTTTCACATTCTAGGATGAATTGTGAAAACGTCACACAAATTTGTGTCGTATCTGGAACAGTATTTCACGAATTACATGCTCATTTACCTAGTATTATCTCAATTAAACTAGCCATGCTTAAGAGTCCAATAAAAAAAAACTTACATAACTGTAACATAACATTTATTAAGTAGAATGGCTATAAGAATTTAATAGATGGCATGTTGATACAACTTTAGTTTGTTTTTACATACCAATATTTTTGCATAGGATGTCGTAAAAATACTTAACATAGCTATTTGAATATTTGATATCTTGCATATAATATTATACAACAATACTCTTACACACATTAAATGTAAAAAGATATAAGAATATTTCAAATACATGTAATTAAATTTCAACATGGAGCTATTTTTACTTCAAATGGTTTTGGCTTTCCATCAACCCTTTCCTCGATTTCCTCAAATTCATTTTGCTTTTGTAAGTTTACACGAAGTTCAGATAAAACATATCTTCTCCATTGCTTGCGTTCTTGAAGTCTTTCCCTCGATTCTTTCTCTGTCAACGGTTTAATACCGCTGTCTGAAGATAAATAGGAACAGCCAATTATAGCCATGAGTGCTAATTTGTCCCCAGTATTTGCGCTATATACAAATACACTGACAGACAGTTCTCTTCAAGTTAACATAATTATGTCAGCGATAATTTATAAACATGTTATCATTTAACCAAATAGTTCCAGAAAAAAACACACGCTTAACCTACGGTTTAAAAGACCTTACTTTTTAAGGGAGCGCTGACCAAGTGGATAAGAAGCCTGTCTGTCATGAGTTCGATCCCTACTTGGATCATGACAATGATTTCTCAGATGACATCAATATACTGGTTAGTTCAAGCAAACTCGATAGTGGTTCAGATACGAATTGTATCACAACTAATCTTTATTAAATAGTGCGTGTTTTTCAACTAAAAGACTCAACAACTCAACACTACCCAGACTGAGAAAATTGAGGGAACAAATAAACAACGGTGTTTTATGTAATCCGTAGAACTGAATGCGATAACTTCCAATTTCGGCAATTCAAATTTCCCTGCATTTTACTAAAAAGTAGCGTTTAAAGTTTACCTTACACAAATCTGTCGTAAAAGTAATGATCTACTGTATTAAATTTAATTCGGTTAATGACATAAATATTACACAAAATGCATATACATCATAGATTTGAATGTTTATTCACAAATCAAAACTTGGTCAGTATTGTTATATTTGTTCGGTCCTTCGGGATCACAGATTCTAGCAAGTTAGTATTGAAGATTAAATACCAATTAAGCCGGTAAAAAGGAATATGAGAGATATTCATTTATCAACTATTTCTCATGAACAGACTTAAACAAAGGGAACCTTCAATTTCATATAACATTGCTGTTCTAATTGCTTGGGTCATCCCTATATATTATACTAGATTCTTAAAAATAAAGCATACTTTTTCGCCACTCGAATGGTCCGACTTTCTTTAGTTTCTTCATCACACTAAGACTTCCAGACTTGACGATGAATAACCATGGAGACCTTTTCGTGTCTTCGCTCAATACATACCCTCTCTTGAAATAATGAAAACGGCATTCTTTTGGATGGTCCTGAAGAAGCTTTATAGGCCAGCCATTTAAGAAATGTAAACTCCTAAAAAGACCAGAGAAAATATTTGTAAAAATTTATATGTATAGAATTACTGACTGAAGTAATATTTATTAGAACAATTAAAGATATCATAATATCAGAAAGTAACTATTCAGACTTCATTATTTTTATTTTCTAAAGTGTAGATTTTTTCTTTTGTATCATTGATTATAGCCTATGTTTTCTTATAACAAAATTATTTAGTTTTTTTGTTGTTCTAATTCAATTATGCCTGTATAATTTTGTTTCCTTTACGAAGAATATACCGAAGAATCTACTCTTTTTCAAATTTATTTTATTTAAAGCGATGTGTTTTAAATTTAAATACAGTTATTTACTTAACTCAGTTTTCATTTTAAGATTGTCTTCTACTTTGGGATCATGGATTACACAACTTTAAGTATTGACGAATCGAATATTGTTTCAGACGGTGGTAGACAGCATAAGAGCTTTTATGTAAAAAAAAACAACAACAACACATTCTGTATCGACCAGAGTCTGCAATTTACAAATATTAGCTCTAGAAAAGAACCACTTTTTGGAGTTAAATGGTCATGTTGAGAGACGCCTTCTGATCTTGTAATACGTAAAGATAACAGAACGAAAGATATTAAATTTTGTAAAATTATAGAGTACTTACTTTAAAAACATCTCTTGGTCAGGATCATTTAGATTTTTAACACCACCTTGCATGAAGATGTTCTTGTAATCCTGAAAATAATAACAGTAAATATAATTTTGTATAAGAATTAAACATCAATATCTTTAATTGAAATATTTTGATAGCTTTGGATCTGAGTTTACTGATTATAGCATTAAACGACAAACTTTGGTACTGCGTCCCTCGCTTTATATTTTCTTACATAATCTATGGAACAATGTTGAGCATATTTCATCAATACTTGTTAGTGTACGTACTCCATATCTTTACCATGTATTTCGGTTGGAACATATAATTGAAAGAAGGCAACATTGTGATACCAATATTGTTATTCATAATATTCGGATTGTAATAATAACTTAATTTATTTAGTTATAAGTGCGCTGTATTATAACGAATTTTGTATCATAAATATATGACATACGGCGGCTGAGATACTCAGAAACTCGCACGACTCTTTCGTAAGCACAGTTATTTCCCTTACAGTATCGTTGATCATTGGGTTCTCCTAAAAATACAAGAAAAATAATACGCAATGAAAATAAAGAACAACATTCGGTCCTTTTTTCGTAGTCTCGAGTAGCACATTGTCATTAATACTGTGTTTTTAAAACACATCAGTACTGCTCAAGATCTCCAGAAAGGGTGACGCATAATTTACATCTAAATTACATTAAAATTGCAGACTAAGACTAAATATTTTTGTACTTATAGTTTCAACAAACGAATCTAATTTCGTCACTTTCAGAAATTCAGCTAGACAGAAAAATATCCTTTAGAACTTTAAAGTTTATGAACCATTGAACTGAATAAACAATTCTGTAGCAAACATTAAAAATTAGTAATCCTTTACTTTTTTCTTTGTTTGTAAATGTGATTTATATGTATAAGGTTGTATTGACGTCTTCAAAGTTTACAATTACCTCAAAATTATCCCCTTTAACATATTCTTTTACAGCACTGGCAATATTTGGTCTTTCAGGGTCCATCTTCATAGCCACAGCTAAACAAATAAAAAAGTAAATGAAATCATAGTTTATATTTATGTTGTATCATTTGTGTTAAACTGGTACATATGACGTTGATAAAATAATCATATGTAATGCAACTCATTTGTCCTTTTTCACAAAGCTTAAAGTTATTTGATCAATTGTTTGAAAAACTACACTGAATAATTACATTTATTTAATTTGTGTATGCATATAACAGAATAAGAACTGTTATGTAAATTTTGTGTACAAATTAAAGAATAACACTAGTTATGTAACTATTTTATAAAGATTAAATGATAACAGCATTTATACAAATTTTGTAATCAGATAAAAGAATGATGAAATTGATGTAAATTTTGTATACAGACTAAAAAAATAATAACATCAATGTAACTTTTGAATACAGATAAAGAATAACAACATTTAGAAATTTTGTTCACAGATTACAGAATTATAACATTGTAAATGAAGCTATACGAAGTGTCCTACCTGCACCTGACAGGATGAAGTAGAAGGCGGCAGATGGGTGACCTTCCCGTGTGATTACTCGTTTTCCCTCATATCTAAAGTACAAAGAAGATGTAATTTAAAATGTTAAGTTTCATCATTCAACAACAAGAGGACAAGAAATCAAACGGTCGTGCCATTATTGAAAATATCTCTACCAAATTGCGAAAAATAAAAAATCACGAGTCTCTCAATGTAGAGTATGTTATTATGACGCAATGAAAAATGCAAAACTTTTCACGCTCTGTAGCACCGGTTTTAGCCATATTCAATTTTTAGAGGCGCTTAACTATTGGAACCGATGGACTTTAAAGTCTTGAGAACTTAGAAACGTTGATATAGAAATGTTAACTATGTGCATAGTATTTCAAGATTGTTTTCAAGACTTTATTTTTAAAACACCACCAGAAGGTCATAGACCCATGTAGCAAACATTTACATACTACTAGTATATATGGCTATAATATTTCAACATTTAATAATCATAATTACATATTCAAACATGCATACATATACATATACAAAAGCATAAGTACATGCACGCTCATATATCTGCATATTCACCATCTAAACACATCTACACACATGTATGCACATATATTTTCACAGATATATAATGTGAAAATTTATGTGCATACATGTGTGTAGATGTGTGTAAATGGTATGATTGCGAATAATCTGTTATTTATCCCATAGTAATGATTAAGAATAATTCGTTACACAAGCCTTGAACTGTTAAAATGAAATTTTCTAGCTTGGAATTTGTCAGATTTCATTTGGAACTAAAGAGACTTAAAGATCAAATTGCAAAAATAAAAAAATAGAATCTGGATGTAGGGTTATGAAGTAACTAACAAAGGTTAACCACTTTCGGTTGTAGCATGTTGAGGTTAATTTGTTAATTTAACTTACGACTCATATTGTCCCGCTGCTGCTATCATCTGCTGCATCCTAACAGGAAGTTCAGCAAAGCTACGAATATTTCTCAGAGCTATCAGTGCCTGAAAGGTGACAAATAATTTGTAGCGAATGGTTAGTTAGAAAAAACGTAAGTTTTTCAATTGTCAGGAAAGATTACGTGTAAATGACATTTATATGGAAATATAACGAACATTTTCTGATACCAAATGTAATGATTTCTATCAAAGATGTAATAGGTATAATGTTTATAAATTGTAGTTAAATATGGAATAAAAATGTATATGAGCCGCGTCACGACAAAACCAACATAATGGGTTTGCGACCAGCATGGATCCAGACCAGCCGCGCAGGATCCATGCTGTTCGCTTACCAACTCTATTACAAGTGGAGAAACTGATAGCGAACAGCATGGATCCTGATCAGACTGCGCAGGCTGGTCTGGATCCATGCTGGTCGCAAACGCACTATGTTGGTTTTGTCGTGACGCGGCTCATATAAAGTTTCCTTTTTGCGATCAACAGTAGGAATTATATAAATTTTATATATCTCATTATTCTCATATATATTTTCAATACTTAAATTTATATATATATATTATCATGTATATTTTACCGAATACACTTCATGTTCCGTCCTAGTTGATTTTCGCTTGCACAAAATTCGTTTTGTTTCTTCAGAAATTCGCATCTGTAAAAATACAGTACCCGAAAGACAATTTACTTAAAGCGTAAATTTATTTATTTGTATAACTGAACAATTAACTGAAATAAACGTTTGTTCCAGAAATAATATCAAAATAAAGATGAAATAAATTCTCGGAAAACAACCTTTCTGAACATTATAATAAAGCTAGTTAACACACTAATAAAACATATTTTATTTAGTTTATTAAACATCTATTACATATTTGATACACACCTGTCGATTTGCACTAAACTGTGATCGATCGAACATTAAATCCTTGACTTGATCGTTCTTGTAATCAATGTAATTTAGTGTATTCATATATGGTGTAAGTTCACTATTTTCTCGAAATCTGTAATTAGAATCAAACATGTAACGCTCTGTTTGCCATGAAAAGGATGCATTTCCTAACCTATCAGATAAGATCAGTATCTTATGTTACACATGATATCTAGTTATGACAATTAAAGCCATAACTTCAGTGACTTGAATTGAACGTGACTTATTCAACTGATTTTTTTTATATTTATAATTATAACTCGTGACCTACTCCATTTTACTTTGTAGTATATGTACTCGTATCTATTTCAAAATCACACGATGTTTTAAGATACTAGAAGAATCAAGAATATTAACAAGACATGTACTAGAGTACTTTCTTCAAAAATATCACCCAGTATCGCTGGTATGTCGACCTCATGCTTGTAATGAAATCAAGTACTACAGATGCTTCATTATGTTTTTATTAGTACACACATAAACTTCAAAATTGCGTTTACAAAAGAACCAGAAAACAATATTGTTGCTTTAGCAGTAAGTTAATTTTTTTTGTCAAACATGTTGATATATGCTAATATCAGTATATTTTGACGGTACAGCACTTTTTTCTGTTCATTGCTATACGGACCTCAACGAAAAATCTTGTTTAAAGCGGCACCATCATGTTTGGCATACGCTCAACACGTGACTCTCATAAATCTTACATACTTCGTGGGTTTTCTTTAGTGGGAATTCAAGTTTGAGAAATAGTTAAATAACATATTTGTTTGTTCTAGTACTTTTATAACTTTCTATTATAACATACATGTATATACAAACACAATTTATTCAAACCCGTTGGAATGTTTTTTTTTCCCTAAAAAGATACTTACTTGAAACTGTGATCCTTTACACATCTTACACAAAATATGATAATCCTTGTCTTCTTCCGAAACTTCCTTCTCACTTCCACTCTCCTCAGTAACATCTGAACTTGCTTTACAGCTTTCTTTTTGTTAATCATTGTCAGGGCGTGAGATCCCAGTGACTTTTTTCCTAGTCCAGCATCAGCAATCTTATTTACCATCGCTGTCTTTTTCACAGCTTTACCCCACATCGTTGTTGCTTTCGCCTTTTTCTCGTTATCGGACAAATCATCTTCTGTGTCGTGATCAGACTCCTCTTTAACTACGACTTTGACTGGTTTCAGAAGTTCTCTTTCAAGCCTTCTTCGCAAAGCTTCGTTATAATAATCCAAAAATTTGCTGACTTTTGAAGACGCTTTTGAGGCGACATCTGCACCTCGCTCTTCACGTCCTTCCTCGCCACTTCGCCTCATGTGTTCTCCGTCGATGTTGTCTTTGTCAGGTGTGAATGAGAACCGCCGGGAGCCTGGTGGAGTTTTCGGTAGCATTGTAAGCACATTTACGCTGTTACGCCGACTTTCGTTGCCTCTTTTTTGGCGTTCTTGACTGATTGGACGACTGTTCTGGTTGCTGTTGGGACCGCTTTTCACAAAGCTCGACTCCCGACTTTTTTCTCTTGCTGCTGATTTTGGTTTGCCCTTTTCCATCTCAAAACCGATTAAACTAATCCATATAGAATTCAAATGATAGTAATCTAAAACTGTGTAGCAGGTTTTACATATCAAAACATAGCATATTAAGATGTATCACTTTGATATTTTAACCGAAAATAAGAATCTATATTTGTTTTTAATGAAAACATGTCTTATTCGTGACTTTACTGTATCAATTAAATTACAATTGTAGAAGTATTGTTTATATTTCAAAAGGTACAATCGTATCTTGACATTTTCACTAACTTTCTTTTGTGTTTAATCGACAGACGGTCAGTCATTTGGAAAATGTCTCTATTGTTTTCCACCATTATAAACAAAGGTCATTCATTAGCGACCATTGTTTCAGCATGTTGATCATTTACTGCGTGTTACATTCTAAATTAAATCTTAAATCACATATTTAAAATGTTCTTACAAAGTTTCGTCTTTTTTAAAAGTAAATATTTCGTGTGAAGTTTATTTACCTCAAAACGTAAGAAAATAAAAGCAATTTTTTATTCTTTTATTTTCCCCTCTTTGTTAAGGCAAAATATCATGTTGGTATTAAGTAAATCGTCCGAGAGAATATGGTTCCGCTAAAAGATTCCAGCAACATTATCTCAAATGCTTCTAATAACAAACTTGTATTATGTAGCTGGGTTGTAACCCATAAAAAGAAAAAGAAATTAAAGATGATAAATAATCGTGTTAATAAGTGTTTTGATCTCGCTTTTGATGTTCATATACTACGTTTTTTCATTTAACATCTGTATTGTTTCATTTCATATCTGTATTGTTTCATTAAATATTTGTATTGCTTTTCATAATATTTACTTCACATAAATTAAATTAATATTTAGCTTCAGTACAGATATGCCATGTGAATTTGGGAAATCGTATTATTTTCAAAAGACATAACAATTATCTTAATTTACTAAGATAAAGATATTATATGTATAGGCCAATTTAAAAAAAAAGATTTTTGGTCATATACATGTATATGATTAATAACACAGTTTGATATAAACATAGTACCAAATTTCACTTTTCGTAAATGTTTCTTTATACATTAGAGTCTATGTAATTTAAGCTTTTTAACTTCTTATCTTTACATGTGGGAGAATGTATATACATGTATAGTGTATCATTGTTCGGCACAGATTTTTCTTATCGTAAGTTATTAAGTCTCTTGCGCTCTCTGTACAAAAGATTCAAACAATAATTTGTTTTTATTTACTGTGAATATTTTGATTTATTTAATTCAGATAACATTTTTAATACAGTTGCAATTTACGCACTATTCCGTAACAATCTTTTGTAAGCATTTCCAATAAAATTTCTAAAGAAAGGAAGAAATGTTGACATATTTTAATATTATGAAAAGCATCATCGTTTAATAATGCTCTTATTACATGTTATCTTTTTCCTAACAATAGCTTCTCATAGCATCATAATTTTACTATATTCCAATTTAAATACTGTGTTGCCATGCATGTCTCGTTTTGTTTTTAGCGTTTCATGGTTATTCAGTCCCATTCTTTATGATGCTTGCGGCGGTACTGGGGAGACTGGAGGGGGCGAAAAATTACTTTTCGTCAATCATTATGAATAGATTTATTTAAACCAAAACTGCAGGTTTTTCTTTTTTTATGTTTATTTCCACTGATTATCTTTCTTTTACGAAGATTTCCTCCATTTTTTATCAATATCTTATATACCTACATTCTTCTATGTCTTAGGTTATTGATCATTGTAGATCTACATTATACTATTTATAATATAAACACATATTGATAACAATGTTTATTTCAATAAAAAATAACAGGTATTATTTTCATCATCATTATTTTAATAAACATCATCAATAAATGAATAACATTTCTAAATAAATGTAATTTTATCACAGCTATGGAAGACAAATACAGATAGGGACAAGTAACAGTTTTAACGCATCAAACATTTAGCAAATGCTTGTCTATTTTTATGAATTCAAAGCACATATTTTTAGCACTATTAATTTTAGCACTATATAATCTATAAGTATAAAAAATGAGAACAAAGACCGACAAGATATAGCAGCGTTCATAGAACGTAGCCATCGAGATGATTCAGCCACACAGTACCACATGAAGAACGATACCTAGCAGCATGTGATAAAACTGGACATATGAATAAATAAGCTACACAAATAGCAAATATAATTAGACAAAATACCGAATTCCTCCACCATACAATGAAATATCAGCTGTGTAATAAATAAAACTGGCCATTAAAGAAATAGTGTTTATATATATGGGGGGTAAGAATTAAACCATGGAACCGTTCATTGTTTATGTAATGGACTCCAACACCAACTACATGACTAAATCAGTCAACACTACTGTAGGGACTGACTGTTCTAGAAGCATAGTATTTTCAATACCGCCGTTTACACTCAACATCGACAGTGAAAATCAAAATGCCCATCAAATTAGCAGCGACACTCGTCCAATTCTTGTCATTTAAGTATCTGTTGTAAAATAAGAATGTCTTTTTTAATCACGTTAAAGCATTTTTCCACGCTTACAAGATACTTTAACAGGTTTTCTATTAGATTTTCACTCTTAAATAACAGAAATACATGAACTTCTAGTGGAGCAGAGTTGAGATACTTAAAAGTCTGAATGACTAGGAAAACAACACACTAAGAAAAATCTACAATCACTTCTTGTTTCGTATTGTTGTCACGGAAATAGATAAGTATCACCCAAACGTTCACGGACTCCAATCAGACCTATAATATTGTATTTCTATTGCCGAATCATCAAATTCTTCAGATGATTCCATAAACACACTTATGATCGCTACGAACACCTCCAATCAATCTATTTTCTTTCCTGTTTCAGGTGTACGAAAAAGTTACTACAGGTATGATATCTAGTAAACAAATGCCTCCTGTGTTTTAGTTCCATTTAGAGTAGTTCTCATTGATTTTCTACTGGACACTTTCTCCATTGATTGTATCAACAATGTTTTCTTAAAGGCTTGCCAGTCTACACTCACTTGTAAACTTTCTTGTAACTCTTCTTCGGTCGGATATGGACAAAGCTAAAGCATAGAAAGAGAACAAAATAAAAATTGAGCCGCGTCATGACAAAACCAACGTAATGCGTTTGCGACCAGCATGGATCCAGACCAGTCTGCGCAGATCAGGATCCATGCTGTCTCTACTTGTTATAAGGTTTGTAAGCGATCAGCATGGATCCTGATCAGACTGCGCGGATGCGCAGGCTGGTCTGTATCCATGCTGGTGGCAAACGTATTACGTTGGTTTTGTCATGACGCGGCTCAAATGAAATTCTTGGAGAAAAAGAACAAAAAGTGCATGTAATCTTATTGCAAACTCATTTTATATCGTTTTCGTCTTTCTTATATTATTTTTTTAAACATGTAATATGCTGCATAAGTAAGATTATATCTGTTTGTGTAAAATTTAAAAAAAACCTGTGTATATAAACAACTCATATACATTCATGATAAAATGATGCACTAAAATCTTAAATAGGGGTGATCTCCAGGAAGCAATAAAAACAACAATATTATATGAAAATTGCAGACTCAGTTTGTATCGCGCTTACAAGCATCGCCTTAAGCGGTATTTATTATTCAACACTAACGTGCTGAAATCAATGACCCCGAAGGACTAGAAAAATATAAAAACACTGAAGTGAAGTGAAATACTTAAAAATCATCACAGTACACTATCAGTAATAAATATTATTTGCATTACCTCTTGTCTCATATCTCGTAAAAGTTTTTCAGAAGCATGCTCCAGGTAGAATTGTTTGTTGATAAGTAAACAGTCGGCACCATGGCTTACAACTGAGAAACTAGGCTGGTCTTTTAATATCACATCAGCTAGACCCTGTAATTATATAAATGACGATCCAAAACACACATTCTTAACAATTCTATATATATTTAATCATAATAGGCGAGTGGAACTGAATGACTAAACCATATAAGCAATTCTGTTGAGAGAGCTATGCAAAAAAAGTCTGGGAAACATAAGCTAACAGCATTAAAACATCAACCAAATAACGGTCAGTTACTGAAGAGTCACTAACTAAACTGGTTTCATAAAGAAGAATCAGAAAAAAAAAAATTAACAGCGTAAGTCGAATGAAAGTAATACAATTCCCTATCTTGTAAGCTACTTTCAATTATTATATGACATATATTAACTTACATAAACTTGACCTTTTGTCAAAGTTTGGACATGAACGAACTCCGGGTTTATGTCTGCGGGATTAATCTCAACGTCACTGTCCTGGTGAAATAAAAACACTTGGGTTACTAGTTTTTTGTACAATGAATAATACCCGCCCTACAAGCTGTACTGACTATTATCATGCAATATTATGATGCCTATTAGCTTTAATATAATATAGTAATTTATGACCATTACGTGAAATTAATACAGTTCTTATTGAACAAAATTAAAAAATTATATCAATTAAAATGTGGAGAAAGCTATAAGCTTATAGACACACTCTCGAAGACGTTCCTAGAACCAACCAGAGCTCAACGAAACAACGACTTGCCAATGAGGATGCTTTGAACCACGAGGCCAGCAATTCTTATATTACTATATAGTACAATGCATTAGCAATTCGGCCATTCCGCCACCACTACAAAATTTGAAGGTCTTTCTCTCCTAGCTATCATCATGATATAAGCAATGTAAAATAACAAATCTATATAATTATCTGCACATGTATCTTGTAAAAGTGTTCAGAAAACAAAAGAATACCCATTAATGCTTATGTTGTAGGATATAAGCAATATTTCTTTTGTCATAATTAAATCAACAAACCTTTCGTTTCATTCCCGAGTCAATGTCTTCCATAATGGTACGTATATGCGGTTGGTATCCAAGCAATTCTTTTTCTTCCTCGTGAGCCATACTGTGACTTCTATCTCTTTGTTTACCTTTAAATGATATTCAATAACATAAATGACATAATTTCCATCTTACTTACTAATACTAAATGTGTTGCCGAGCTTTCCATCCTGATTTAATTGAACATATCGACAAGCGTTCCTGTACAAAACAAGAAATTTGGCTCCTTCTCCCATTGCATTTACCTTTTTTATCTGGTCTTTGAAAAATCATAGCATTAGTTATCAATAAGTGAAGAAAAACTCATTATAACACATATAGTATCTAATTAGATTTCAAAATTTCTTTTTGTAAATTTAGAATGAAAACAACTATTGTTTAATTACTCTGTTAAGTTCACAAAAGGTTCACCTGGCTTTTTTACTAATTAACCTTGCTTATTTGGGTAATTTGAACTATTTAAAAGTGTAAAGACGATTACCTAATTTATTATTGACTGTTAACCTGTTGAGTTTTCTCCCTTGGTATTTACTATCTAAAGTATCAATGGCTGTGCCTGAGATAGTCCGAAATGGTGGACCAGCATGGCGATTATCTTCTATATATCTACCAGATTCTATCTCTGATATATCAACCCTGTTGGAGAAGATTTATTGTACATAATTGAATTAAATCACGTATTTAACATGATGAAAAACGTACATTAAACATCGCCTTGCCAAGCAAAGATGAAAAAGACACAAGTTCGGTCTTTGGAAACTGCTGTATCAAATAATCTGTTTTGTTTGTATGTTTTTAGATTTTTTGATAGATTTTTTAAAAGTTTTCATCATTTTCAAGTGGATTTCTTTGGAGTTACATGTATATTTATAACGCGTGAAATAGTTTGCCAATATAACGACTGAAAATGTGTACATGTACATGTTTTATCATTTGTACTCACTTAAATGGCCAGAGGTTTGGTATTTGTGGTTGTTTCTTAGTGTGCTCTTCATCTTCTTGTAAATTCTTTTCTTTCCCTTCAGGATGAACAAAAGGAACTGGTTTACCATTTTCATAAAACTCTATATTATTATCTTCCTCTTCACTTTGGCTAAGTGGTATTCCTAATTCTGGTAGAACCCGGCGCCACTCCGTCCTCTGGTTTACTACTTCACGTTTCTTACTTCCGCTCATGTACTCTATCGCTTCTGAAAACATTTGATAAATAGTTATCTAACCAATAATCAGTAAACTTTCTTGTAAGAAGAGTATTGTTCAACTTTATCTGTTAGTCTTTCTCCTGCTATTTCATCCTTTGAGGTCTAAGTTTGAAAATTTCTGCGCCGCTCCTTTCTTATTAGCGTCTAACTATGGCTCAGTTAGTCTTCATTGTTACGCCGCTTAATAGTTTCATTCACATGTCTGTCATATATAATTTTACGTTCTATTTTTCTATTTTAGTTTAGCAAGGCAAAGATTAGACGTCAAAGATGTATGTAAGAATATATTTCACCTAGTTTACTCTGCATTATTTATTGTGATAGTTTGGCAGTTTATATAATTATCATCATTAAAACAATTTTTTCAGTGTCACCTGAACATTTGTTTACAATACAAAACATATTACTATCATATTGACGGATTACTTTATTTGAACTTATTTGACCTTGTAACATGATAATATAATTATCCAAAAATTATCTTTATGACGTGATTTAAGACTGAAAACTTTTACAAATTATTACTTTTTCGCTTCCATTCAAAAGCTTCTACCCGTTTAAGTTTCTTCAACACTTGGACGCTACCCTGAAAAAAGACAAAAATGTCAAAAGATCTTAATTGTTACGCATTTAAACTAATTCTTTTATTAGTTTTAAATAGACAAAGACATATATTTTGTGCTTAGATATGCATAAAAAGATAATTATAATTGATTTTCTTTTAATGGAGCTATGATTGCTTAGTGATGTAATATTTACAAATATCTATGGCACATGATAGGCTTATATCAGAAAGAAACGTTCGCGATTTTATTTCATATTCGCACTGTTTTTGATGGGTTTTTTTTTGTTAGAAGAAACCTGTTCACCTTCAATTATAGCTTTAACCTTACTTGATTGAACTATATTTTAATGAAATCTGTAAGCAAATAAAGGTAAAGAAATGGGGGAAGCTAATGCGACAATTATGAAACTATTGTATGCTAGCTAGGTTTATTTTAGCCGCGTCATGACAAAACCAACATAATGTGTTTGCGACCAGCATGGATCCAGACCAGCCTGTGCATCCGCGCAGTCTGATTAGGATCCATGCTTTTCGCTTACAAACCCTATAACAAGTAGAGAAACTGACAGCGAACAGCATGGATTCTGATCAGACAGCGCGGATGCACAGGCTGGTCTGGATCCATGCTGGTCGCAAACCCATTATGTTGGTTTTGTCGTGACGCGGCTCAAATTTTGTGTCTGTAACTGGACGACAATGGTTGTGAATGATAACCCTTAAAAAGACCTCAGGGTAGCCAATCGTGAATTTGCAAAATACAGTTGTCTGTGCAACGGTCCATCTATTTTGTTTAAATGATTTTGATATAAACTGTGTAAAATTTTATCACACTGCGTGCTATAGCTCTTTATATGTGGCTTATTTGCAGATGTTTCTAAAGTCAAAATTTTACCATTTACATGTTTGAATGTTGAATACTGCTTAAGCCTGTGCTAGGGTGCGTGAACGGTAGCTTGCAATTACCATTGCCGCTATCAAACCGGGCCTGCAATATTTTCAATTTTGCCGTTTTGGACTTTCTTTTGGTATTCTAGTTCTCTTTATTTTAGCACTACCATTATAAATGTCACTACACAAATGGTTTTCATGCAATTGAATGTTACCATGGTTATACTTACTGATTTGACAATAATAACCCAGTCTGAATAATGTGAATCTCTAACTATAACCTCACCATTTCTGTAACAAAACAACATTACAAGTAGTTCTTTCAGTTATTATTTTACATACTGTAGACAAATGTGATGTTTATGGTATGGGCATTAAAATAACAATATCTTATAGAAAGAAGCAACAACAAAAAGTCGGTAAGGGAGACATAAAGAGGGCACTACTCTTTAATTGGCGATGGAAACATAAATGTGGTTTTATTGTTAAGCAAGAAAGGGGACAGTGTAAATATTTTTAAAATTTTGGTAAGACGCCGTCGGATCTTTGTTTGGATGCCAAAAGAACACATTCACACGATTCAACGAAACTATGTTGATGTATTTACATGCACAATGTTGCGTATTTCTACCGAGAAAAACACCTGAATAATAATAATAATAATAATAATAATAATAATAAAGACTTTTTTTAACGAGAGAACTCATTTGATTAAACATATCAATCTTTCATGATGCCCTCAACAAGGAACAATATAAATTTAACATATTCAAACTATTAAAATACATAAATGTAAAAACATACAGGAGATTATCAATTTGTATACATCAATGCGTGATAAAATCTCAAGTATAAGGTTTTAAAATGGTTAACAGATGTAGCAGACTTAATATAATCAGGAAGGCCGTTCCAAATACAAGATCCAGAATAAACAAAAGACTTACGAAATTGTTCAGAATTTTGTCTAGGGGTATAAAGTTGAAAATCAGATGATGAACGCAAAATGCGAGTATGAACATCTGACGATAAAATGAAATTATTCAATAAATAGGAAGGCGCCTGATTATTCATTATTTTAAACATCATAATAGCTTTTTGAAAAACAACCCTATGTGAAAAGGTCATCCAGCGGAGTTCAGAAAAAAGTTCAGCAGATGGAGTGTCATAATCTTTGTCTAGAATTTATAATAGTCTTGCAGCTCTCTTTTGGAACTTAATGAATGCGGTTTCAAAAACCCATACAAATAAATTATCGCACATGCAGAGATATTATTATTTATGTACTTACTTGAAAAACAGAAATTGACATTTATTAGGATTTTCTTGTAGGATATGTATCGGCCATGCTGCTAGACATGTTAAACTCCTGCAAACAATATAACACTTTTATAACGTTTGTAACAATTGTGATGTTTATATGATCTTTGGCAAATTCACGAATTACTTTTCATTTTTATTAATGAAAATAAATTTTGCAGTATAAGTTTTCATTACACATTTAATAGGTTACTCACTATATAACAAACAATATAGAATAGGAGCAAAGTGGTCAAGGGCGTTGACTTCGAACCGCTTGAGTTTGAAATGCGTTAAGGGACTTTGCATTCTTTCATTTCAGAAAGCTATCCAGCTAGCTCACGTCTTATGTGTCAACTTATGCATGCCTGAAATAATGCACGGAGTGGCACCTAAGGTCTTTCTCCAGTAGTAAAGCAGGACGGTCGGAATATGACCTTTGCAATGTCGATGCGAGTTAAAATCTAATACCAAAACTTATAAAAATAGAATTAAAATAAAATTTGGAAAGTTTATTATTCAATTTTCGAATTAACATACCTGTAAATTTTGTTAAAGGCATGGTATAATAGCAGAAAAAAGCAGAATGAATGCCTCTTCCTTATTGTATAATTTCAAGACATTTCACAAGCTTATCAGTATATTCAAGAAAAAAAGAAACACTTAATCATAATTATACAATATAAAATGTTAAAATGGTAACAACTACTAAACTGGGTTTCAAATACACACTTGAGGAAGATTTCTTGGTCAGGGTCGTTGATGTTTTTCACTCCTCCAGCCATGAATATCTTGTGATAATCCTAAAATATGTGACATAGTAACTAGTCAAAAATATTCATCAAGGTATTATTAGATCTTTTCAGATGAAATGCAAGCAAGTTTCTTTTAGAAAATTATTCGAAATATTCATAAATGATGTTCTAATAGAAAGGTAATTCTTATTCCAAGGGTTATTGACTTCAACTTTTATATACAAATTGTTATAATTTCAAACTATTTTAGACCTTTTAAGTCTTGAATTGCATTCATGGAAAATGACCGCAAGTTAAATTCCTTATTGTGAATAAATCTGTTCTATTATCACATACCATGAGCCGATACTCTGATTATAAATGATATCCAATGGTATTATATGATATTTTTTTAAGTTAAATACATGTAAAGTCAAACCTTTGCTGATATAGACATAAACTCGCATGTTTCCTTGGCAATAACAGTTGAATTCCTCTTTGATTCGTTAATAATTGCAAGTTCCTGTACAAACAAAGCAACAATGAAGTTTTTTTTTTCATTTAGAACAAAATTAGTCTTTCAATTTCCGATTACCCAATCATTATCTAGGCATACAACAGAATTGTACAGAATGTTTTTGGAATGCAGCGTCACAAGCTCATTAATAATGGAAGCTCATTCACGGAAAAATTCATATTCTTGGAGTTATCGTTCGTTAATATGTATAATCATATGTTAATGTTTATAAAAGACGATGCACCATACAGTTAAAGTATCTAAAAAGGACTTGAGCAAGACGCTCGTTATCTATATCTTTTAAAATAGGAATTAAAATCCTCAAACATGTAATAAAAAAGTGTTTTCTTTTTACAGTGATGAATATATAGCTTACCCCAAATGTTTGTCCTTTGTATAAGTGAGCTACTGGTCGAGCATATTTGCTATCTTCATCCATTACCATGACAACAACTAAAACATTAAAAAAATATTCATTATAGCTTGCTTTAACATTGTATTCCCTTGTTATGGTTAGTATAGTTTTAAATACACGTTAGAATTAAAGAAACAACTACATTGTACATTGTATGTTGTTTAATAGAACGTTGACATCTTAAAATAAAAAAAAAATAAAAAAAAACAACAGGTAATATCACATCATCATTCTTGCTTTTTGGTACATTTTTTTTATTATAAATTGGCTATAGAAAACTATATGAACGAATCTTATAATTAAATTGCATTAAATGAGATTTTTAGTATTACATACCTGCCCCGGAAAGAATAAAATAAAAAGCGGACGCTGGGTGTCCTTGTCGTACAATCATTCTCTTAGATTCGTATCTGTAATAATAGAAATATATTCGTATCTGTAATAATAGACATTTAATAATGATAATATAGAAACTGTAATCATAGTAAATACAAAGTAGATAAATATCTGCAAAGGCTATATAAAGCAATTGTAACTGGGCAATAATCCCAAACATATGAGTGGCGTTATATTTTTCTATCTTGTACAAATTTGGAGGAAGATCATGAATTGTAGCACTAAAGTTTATTTTTCATACAGATATGTAAACATCCATTTGACACCAATGAAACTAAAAAAAATGAAGCAATCATTTGTTTCTTTCCATAAAAATACAAATTAAAACATACAAAATTTTTTTTTATATCTAATTGAATCTGGTTAGTAATATCTTCTACATGTAAAAGAGACATAGACAAAGTTTCGCATTAAATGTTGATATATCATATAATAAATATGAAATGATTACAAAATGTCCAATTTATGTATGATATTAACCCAAAGATTTAAAATATGTATATAGGCGTGTGAGTATACATACTTTTCGTATAGTCCAACTTCTGCAATTTTTTCCTGCATTCGTTTAGGATATTCTGAGAAACTCTTTATGTTCCGCAGAGCTAAAGTGACCTACAGTAAAAAGAAAATAATCTTTTATTTTTCAATACTAACTAGTTGATATGGTGTGAATTATTTTGTTGAAACAAAGATGTAATATTACTACATGTAGGCACAAATAATATATCTGATGCAGATTCCAGCCAGTACATAGTTGATGAGCTGAAGGATACAATACACACTGTAAAAACCATCAACTCAAAATGTAAAATAATCATTTCTTCAATTCTACCTAGAAGAAACGACAAACTTGTCAACACCATTATATCTGAAACCAACAACAGGTTTAGAGATCTGTGTGCAGATGGTGGTCACCACTATATCAACCATGACTCTGACTTTATCCTACATGGTACTCCAGACAAGTCGTTGTATAAAGACTATTTACATCTAAATAGAAAGGGTGGAAAACTGTTTGGAACAATCATGAGGAAGGCTATAAACTATGTCCTAGGCATATCTACGATGCCATCTGATGACCATAGCAGTAACACAATGGACAACAAGTCTCATTTTCAGAAAGGGAGGTTTACAGGGAGGAGAGACGAGAACCCGGTCTACATGCCAGTACCAACTTCATGGCTGAGGAATCAGAATTCTTGGGATCGCCGTCGTTAAATAATTGTGAAAGTAATTCATTTCAATATGGAGAAACCAATTTTGATTTGACTAATGAAATTGTAAATGACAATACTTTAAACTATGACTCCAATAAGAATAGTAACTCTTGGTACACGCATAAAGGGTTGAACATACTACATCTTAACATTCACTATTTGTACCCAAAATTAGACGAACTTAAAATTATAATTTCAGAACAAAAGATTGATATACTCTGTTTATGTGAAACGTTTCTAAATGTAAATTTTCTAGACAATGAACTACAGTTGGACAATTTTACACTTTTTCGCAAGGACAGGCCTTCCAATGGAGGCGGTTTAATTATTTATGTTAGAGACTGTTTATCTTTTGTACATAGATCTGATTTAGAAAGTATTTCTATTGAATCCATTTGGCTTGAACTTAAACAGCCTAAATGTAAATCATTATTATTGTGTTATGCATACAGACCACCATCTTCTAAAGTTGAGTGGCTTAATAATTTTGCTATATCCTTAGAAAAATCATATTTAGAGGAAAAAGAATGTATTGTTATTGGAGATTTTAACTATGATATTTTGAAGCATGATAATTGTTCTAAATCTTGGTTAGATCTAATGCAGTCTGTAAATTTTTCTCAGCTTGTTGAATCTCCTACCAGAGTAACTTCAAGCTCTGCTACATTGATAGATCATGCATTTTCAAACATGCCTCAAAATATAGTCGTTTTTGTACCTTCCTTATCCATTAGTGACCATTTTCCAATTTGTCTTACACGCAAACTTTCAAATATCAGTGTTAAAGGTCCCATGCATAAGACAATAACCTTCCGGTCTCTTAAACACTTTGATGAAAATCGATTTTTAACCGAATTGTCAGAGCAACCCTGGTCAGAAGTAGCATCTGTAGAAAATCAAGATAACTCTATAGATTTGTTCACTGATAAATTTTTGTCTGTCCTTGAAAAACATGCACCAACCAGAAAAAAACGAGTAAAGAAGGTCACCCAACCAAACTGGATTAATAAAAACATCCTCGATGCTATTAAAACAAAACACCAGTTTCATAGGGTTAATGACACATATAATTACAACATATGGAAACAACACGTTAAGTCTCTCATATATGATTCTAAGCGACAATATTATAATGATACCATCAATCAAAACAAACACAACCCAAAGAAATTATGGACTGGTCTAAATGAATTATCTGGTTACAAATCCAAGGTTCAAACACATTTTATTGATGATGATGATGGCAACCCGGTTTCTGACCCTTTAATCACTGCAAATTTATTCAACAGACAATTTGTGAATCTCCACCAATCCCATCATACCATTAATCAGACTGGTTATGAAAATCCTGAGCTAGTTGAACTAAATGCATCTAAACTTCAGCATATACCCCCTTTCAAAATACCTAAAATAGAGCTCTCTTATGTGTTGAACCAATTAAAATTGATTGATATTACAAAGTCATGTGGGTCAGATGGTCTCAGTGCAAGGTTTCTAAAGTTATCGGCTCATATTATTGCTCCCATACTTACCACTATATTCAATAACAGTATTCTTAACAATACATTTCCTAAATCATTCAAAAATGCAAAAGTCATTCCTATACATAAAAAGGGTTATAAAAGTGATAAAAGAAATTATAGGCCAATTTCCATACTTCCCTTGATATCACTTATTCTTGAACGTCATGTCAGTTCACATTTAAAGCAATACCTTGAGAAAAATCAACTTCTATACCAACGTCAGTCTGGGTTCAGGTCAAATCATTCATGTAAAACAGCATTGATTAGAATTATTGATGATTGGATTACAGCTATTGACAAAAATGAAATAGTTGGTTCAATTTTCCTTGATCTCTCTAAAGCTTTTGACTATGTGGATCACTCTATTATTATTGAAAAGCTTAGAATGAATAACCTAGACCCTTCATCAGTTGCTTGGTTTTCCTCCTATTTAGATTGTAGATATCAACAAACTTACATATCCGGTTCATATCCATATTCAAGTTCAGTAAGTAAGTTCCTCAGGGCTCAGTTCTAGGTCCTTTATTGTTTTTAATCTATATCAATGACCTACCTTTGTCTATGGAAAAAAACAGAAACTGATATTTTGCTGATGACACCACCCTTACAACATCTGATGTATCCCTTAACAGAGTAGTTGAATCTCTTACTCATGATCTTTTAAATGTCAACAAATGGTGTGATTTGAATCGCATGTCTATCAATGTTAACAAAACTAAGGTCATGTATATTTCCTCAAAACACAAGCAAAATTATATTCATGAAAGTAATCCTTGTATTTTATATAAAACAGAGCAAATTTTCTGTAGCTCTGAAGAAAAATTATTGGGTATTACAATTAATAACACCTTGTCTTGGCAAAGCCATATTGATAATGTTCTTAAAAAGTGTAACTCATTGTTACATTTATTATCACGTATAAAATTATTCATATCTAAACCTGTACGTAAAATGTTTTACAATGCATATATTTTACCACATCTTGATTATTGTTGCATAATTTATGGTAACTGTTCGTCTTTTCTAGAAGATAAACTCATTAAGTTCCAAAAGAGAGCTGCAAGACTAATTCTAGACAAAGATTATGACACTCCATCTGCTGAACTTTTTTCTGAACTCCGCTGGATGACCTTTTCACAGAGGGTTGTTTTTCAAAAAGCTATTATGATGTTTAAAATAATAAATAATCAGGCGCCTTCCTATTTATTGAATAATTTCATTTTATCGTCAGATGTTCATACTCGCATTTTGCGTTCATCATCTGATTTTCAACTTTATACCCCTAGACCAAATACTGAACAATTTCGTAAGTCTTTTGTTTATTCTGGATCTTGTATTTGGAACGGCCTTCCTGATTATATTAAGTCTGCTACATCTGTTAACCATTTTAAAACCTTATACTTGAGGTTTTATCACGCATTGATGTATACAAATTGATAATCTCCTGTATGTTTTTACATTTATGTATTTTAATAGTTTGAAAATGTTAACTTTATATTGTTCCTTGTTGAGGGCCTCATGGAAGATTGATATGTTTGTTCAAATGAGTTCTCTCGTTAAATAAAGTCTTTATTATTATTATTATTATTATAACTAACTCAAAAATATAGAGAGTAATAAATAATTTGACTGATGTTTTCAATTTCCCCAGAATCAGCATAAATAAAACTGTTTGCTGAAACTATTGTCGTCTGCCATATATAATTAAACAATAAATTTGTTGTCTTCTGAACTAAATATATGTGTTTACTTACATGATATACTTCTTGTTCGGTCCGGTGTGAAAATTCTTTTGATAAAATTCTTTTTGTCTCTTCTGGGATTCGCATCTATAAAATGAAAATTTAAAAAGATTTTTGATAATATTTCTATTTGTTATACTGCACGATTGTAATGCCGGTTTTCATTGACAAGGAAAGTGTTCTAAAAAGATATCGTGCGATCCTATAACCATGGTATAATAAAGGGAATTAACTGGATATTATACGATTTGACAGAAGTTAACGTACTTGTCTGTTGGCCTTGAACTTGGACAGATCAATAAGTAAATCATCGGTGTTATCATCTTCGTGGAAATGTAATCTCTTGATGTACGGAGCCAGCTCATCTTGATGTTCATTTAACCTACAGACAGTGATGAAAACTTATTCAATAAAAATATATATATATAAACTTACATTAAAGGCCCATTATGCCTCAGAAATGATTTTTTTTCAAAAAAAAAGGCTTGTTATTTTTTATGTCCTGTTATAATTTCCAAAACGTTTTTACTGACCAATTACCTAAACCATATTATGTTTCTGTTGCTTTTTGCAATAAGTACAGTTGTACTGATTTAGCATTTTGTATGGAAGACAAAATTTTATACTTTGTTTACATTTGGCTACTTTTGTGACATATACTTTTCTCATCAAGTGCTCCTTTTTATGTAACAAGCATCTAACATGCTTTAAAATCATTATTTACAGTTCATAAAATTAATGTTCGCCCTATCTAAAAGGGGAGAAAAAGCATGTGAGGTATAATGTGCCTTTAACGGATTTCCCTCAATAGTCATATCTGCTATCGGCCTTTGCGATAAATACATATTTCTAACATAATTTGCTTTTCACGCCACTGTCTTTAAAATCTCCGATTCAAAACAAAAAGGCTTTAAATAATTTTCCGAAAATTATACTTAGCATATGAAGAGCTTGAATAGTTAATAACATATCTAAATACAAACTGTTTGAAAGACATTGAAAATCTAGGTTTAAATAGAAAACAGAAGCCTTTCCTTTTCATAATCTCCGAGAGTTAATTTGATATAATACATTTGAGCCGCGTCACGACAAAACCAACATAGTGCGTTTGCGACCAGCATGGATCCAGACCAGCCTGCGCATCCGCGCAGTCTGATCAGGATCCATGCTGTTTGCTTACCAACTTTATTACAAGTAGAGAAACTGACAGCGAACAGCATGGATCCTGATCAGACTGTGCGGATGGGCAGGCTGGTCTGGATCCATGCTGGCCGCAAACGCACTATGTTGGTTTTGTCGTGACGCGGCTCATTTGCAGATTGTACATGTACAAACATGTGTTTTTAAATTAACTGTTATGACAGTAATTAATTTTCTCTCTTCAACAAGTTTATATAAAATGTCAATGGTCATTCGGATTACAATTTATCGAAATACGTTATAGCATCAATATAAAGCTTTTTTTCCAATTCAATTAATTTTCTTCCATTTTCTTTATATTTTCGCTGAAAATGTCTTTCTTAAATTACAAATTACTTATAGAACTTTCAACTTGTGAAACGATACTTGACTTGAGGACGTATAATGATAACTTATTTAACTAGACTAGGACAAAAAAGAAAGGACTAAAATTGCATTTAAAACCAACAGTTCATAAATCTTAAGATCAACGTTGCAGTAGAGTTGAAAAAGTAACCATTATTAATTTTAGTATTCTTCTTGAAAATAGTGACATACCTCCCATTGAGAACTTTACAATGGTGAAGTACTTGAATGGGATAATCAAAATTATTAATTCAATTTACGTTAGATATATTGCCAACTGTGAACATCCGAAGCAAAAAATGGTAGATTGCAGCCATTAAATTAAAAAAATACTGATTTTTTAAAAAAAAAAAAGGTCACAAGGGTAATTGTGCAGAATATAGGCCTCCTCGTATTACAAGGATTATAAATCATTATGTTTTAAAGTTTCGTGTCTATTAAACTTAATAGATCGAAAGGTCAATCTGATATGCTTGTCCGTGTTTTACAGTCATTTCGCTAAATTATGATATTGTCATCATAAAAATTAATAAATAGCTAAAGATTAAATTTACGTCTTGAATGTTAACCAACAATCAAAAACGTATAAAGATTAAAAAAAAGAGAGAAGAAGTCTATATAGCATGAACTCTGAGAGAAAAATTGATAATCATTATTATACCATATTATAATAATGAGTTCGTACACAATCCCTTCTGCATTTCCTGTCAATTTTATTCTATTTAAATTATTGTCAAAAAATCATCGACCATTGCTAAATACAAAAAAACGAAACCACCACCTCATTCCTAAAATAAAGGAGTGACGTAATTAACAATAGTTTAAGTGGGTCCTGTCTTCACATAGAAAAGGATCGGGATCAGAAGCCTATAATCCTTATTTTGTTTTTATTACTACGATATCATATTAAACCTACATTTAATCATATTAGACTTATAAACGCACTTTGGTTCAAAATGTAAAAATTTTCAAATTTGCAAACAAACAAACGTATGTATGATTGAAAAATAACAATGCAAAATATAACGTTAACTGATTCAATATAGTTTTAAGATCAATATTGCTTCAAAAGCAAAAGAGTAATTCAAAAACATTTTTTTCTATTTCATAATTTTTTGTCATTTAAAAGTTAAAACAAAATGTTTTATATAAACTGTGTAGAAATTAAAAAAAAAATCTTGATCGTTAATCCTTTGTGAATGCAGGCTAGAAACATCATCTCGAGTTCTTTATTATAATGATAAACACAATAATAATTGCAGTTCCGATGCCGCTCACAAAAATAATGTCAATAATGATGACTTAGTCTATAATGATAATGATGATGTTGATGTTCCCGAAACTGATGATGACGTTCACGAGAATGATGAAGATACTTTTTGATAATGATTAAATGATTTTTATGATAAACATAAAGAATCTGACATAAGTTTAACTTATAAAGAGCCCGAGAAAGTGTTATACAGTGAATTTGTGACAAGCAGTACGAACTTGATGCAAATTATAAGATTTCTTAAGTCACAATATGGTTGCAAGAAATCGCCAACAGTATGATGAAATGATGATACTAGATGGTTACGGCACTCATGATGATTTTTTCAGAATAGAGAAAGCCAACACAGCAAAAAGATAGGAAATGCAAGAAAGATATCTAAAATAAAAAATCGTAGACAGTGTTCTATATCCTATAGAAGGCTTAATGCATTAAGTGCAGAAGCACGAGAACGAATCTAAAGCTGAGCCCGCACGCTTTTTTCTGAAATTAAAGCTCTTTTTTTTTAAAAAAATATAAAAAAAACACCTTTGGTATACCTGTTCTTCTTCTTAAGGCTAAAACACATTAATGTTTTAATGGACAAAATTTAAAAAAAAATCTGTATTAATCTAAGATTGTTAAAACGGTTACACATCTTTCTGACAATGCAATATTTATAACGTAGTCACTGTGTTGATAAAAATAACATACAATAATGATTTACTAGTCGTGTGTTAGTTATTTTTAGTACAAATGTAAAACATTTTAAAAGTATTTTTCTGTTTAGAGAATACAAAATAGTCGGCGTCTGTGCATACAGAATAAAACGGAATAGAACAGAAAATGGTAATAATTATCAACAATGCAAAATAATTTTACTGTATCCAATGCGCGTGGTACAACAGTTACATGCATTTTCTTATTGGTTTTTGGGAAATACCAAAATATATATGTATAATTATATAGCAACGACTTCATCTTGTGTATATATCAGTGTTATGTATTAACATTTAAATGAAAATTACAAAAGAACTCTTACCTCAGACAATGTTGTTTGAAGTTCCTTGAGCAAAATATTGCCAGCTTCCCGGCGAGTCTAAATTTGGCTAGTAATCTTTTCTGAAATGAATAGATTGCAAGTTTAGACCTCCGTTTAGAGTATTGTTTCTTTATCAAAGTTTCACCAATCTCAAGTCCAAGACTATGACGCTTTTTTTTAAGTTTAACAAGCAACAACGGGAGTTTTAATGTGTCTGATGCTTTTTGCCATAACTGTTGACCCCTAGTTCGACCATGACATTTAGCGTCGTCTGTAATGTTCACTGAAACAGATTCCAACTCTGTATTTTTAGTATATCTTCTAGATCTAGTGTTATTTCTAGAACTTGTACGTAAGACTGGTAAAGACATTGTACGAGAAACCTTGACCTTTGACCTCCGACCCTGGCTTTGGGGTGGAGATAATGATGGATTTACAAGCACAACGCGTCCGTCTAACTGATCATCATAGGATGAAACACAAATTTGAGGAATCACAAAACCTTCTCTAACCATTTTCGTCATTATATCATTTATATTTAAAACTGTCCACTTCCGACGATATGTTTATATTTCATATACTAGTAATTATATTCATTTTGATAAATCTATAATTTTTGTTGTTTTCAAAATAATAATAAAACATAAGAATCATATTTCTCTATACATTAATGAATATCTATCAATTAATATTCCGCTCATCACACTGGGGATTTTTTGTGAATCTTCAGAAATCTTAAGATCTCTCACAGGAAATGATGGGGTTTAATATGTTGGACGTCGAGCATCACTTATTATCTCTATTCTATTGAATTTCTAATAACTTTAATCCTTAACGAGCCCGGTTGAATGTTGCCGTATTGAACAGGCAATGATAAGGCACAATTAATTTAGAAAATTTGACATGATCTGAAGTACAATACTTGACATGTTAAGACCGTAGAATTAATACAAGGTGAAAAGGGTACACGTCGTTTTACAGTGGCATCTGCTCGGTCCTTACCGGCAAACTTCGGTCGAATATGAATATCGAGGCTTGCAGCCATTTTAAGTTCAGTTTTTAGTTTCAGTTTTTATTAAACCAAGGCATATAATATGCAACTGGTTATAACAACAAACAAACAGAAAAATAACAGTCAAAAATCACTAATATATAAAAATACAATTATGACTAGCTAAATAAACAAAAAGGAGATCATATTGTTCATTTCAATTGTATATTGTAATATGTATATGATACATGTATATTGTAAAATGTATATGATACATGTTAAAATGTTATGGTAAAATGTCAATTGTACATTGTATATCAAATGTGGTAAGATGTACATTGTATGTGGATTGTGGTAAGACGTACATTGTATATGGAATGTGGTAAGATGTACATTGTATATCAAATGTGGTAAGATGTACATTGTATATCAAATGTGGTAAGATGTACATTGTATATCAAATGTGGTAAGATGTACATTGTATATGGAATGTGGTAAGATGTACATTGTATATCAAATGTGGTAAGATGTACATTGTATATCAAATGTGGTAAGATGTACATTGTATATGGAATGTGGTAAGATGTACATTGTATATGGAATGTGGTAAAATGTACATTGTATATGGAATGTGGTAAGATGAACATTGTTTATGGAATGTGGTAAGATGAACATTGTATATATGGAATGTGGTAAGATGTACATTGTATATGGAATGTGGTTAGACGAGTAGTTGTATAAAATCGGTTTTAAGGCACCTGTAAAAAAGTCATGGAATATAAAAATTTACCAATTTATACAGACTGTGATCATATGCGTTCTAAAATAGTGTAATTGCTTATTAGATAAAAACTTAGTATGCAATGCTGTAAAAGTAAAAGTTAAAGTGTACGGTTGTCCTTTATTTTCATAGGATTGATCTACGTATGTCGCTGTAAGGTATTTTATAAATTTCTAAAAACATGTCATTGAATTTAACTATCGTTATTTGTTGATTTTCACGTAGGGCGACTCATATCATCAGAAACGACAATTCTATACGCCCAAATTTACGAAAAATATTTATTGTAAATTTTATATAAAATAGTATGTTAGCATTTTTATTAAAGTTACTTTTATTCTCTCTATCAAATCAGTTGAAACTAGAAAACATCTTTCAAACGTTTGCGTTTCTAAATAATAACTCTTTATCGGGTTTGTAAATAATTTCAAAAATTATTATCTTTGATGTCATGCGAAGTATCGCTCTAGCATTAGTGGTATATATCCTATATTTTTATGATAAAAGGACAAGTATTAATTTTTATGTAATATATTTTGAAGTGGCCTGTATACTCGTTATCATATTCTAAAGTGTTTGAAGACACCCGGTGTTATATTTTTCTCAGGTTATGAGATGATGTCCTTCATAATTCTGAAGAAGTCAGAAAAGAAAGAGGTCTTTGATGGGCGTATAATGAATACAAAACATAGTTAGTATATAAAGAACTCTTCTCTACATATTTTAGGAGGACCATTAGATAATGCCAGATGAATGCATTGAGCTTATACAAACACTCAAAGTCGTATAGTTATGTCTTTAAAGGCCCATCTCACGTGGAAAAAAATATGGTAAAGAATTTAATACCATGTTCTCAGTAACAGTTGATATAAGCAAAACTGGACTAGATAATTTGTATTCATTTTCATTTGATTGTCTCTTTCCCTATACACAGATTAACGTTTAAAGTAAATGAGAAAGCTAAATACAAATGACAACGTGTAAATAAAATGAAATGATGAAATGTGAAATAAAATGAATTGTAATGAAATAAATAGATAAATAAATAAATAAAAATTTGCTTAAATATGATACTTAGTTAACATATATTGTAATTTGCGAGTTCCAACAATAAAACAGGAGAAATAACATCAGGAAAGATGATATAAGGTATAACTATTCTGCTCTATATTATGTAGAAAATTAATGACCATTCCTATACATGTATTTAGATCTACCTTCCTATATTCCTCTTCATCAGTATTATCGCTCGTGACTGTTGACCTACGCCGCATGATCGACCCTCTTCTTTGATAGAAGGGGGCATATAATACATGCTTTTTATCCAGTCCCCCATGATGTAAATGCGACTGTTCACTTCTTGGTTTAAAAAGACGTGGTGAAGTTGGAGGATGAATCACTCTAACTTTACAAGAAACTGGCCGATCCAGTCGAGATCTTTCGAAGTTGAATGTTATTTTAACTGCAGGAGACGGTGTTAAAGACGCTCTTTTAGTCATGAACGTTTTGCGACCGGGACTTGGCGGTAAACGTAATAATCCTAGAGCTGTCTGACCACGTTCCGCAACGTGCACTGTCTTACGACGTCCATGTGACGTCATACGATGCCTATGTAAGAAATCCTGAATTTCCGGCATTTCTTGTCCGTATTCGTATTCCATATCACTTGCTTTTATAAAATTATGTCCACTCGTATGTCTGTTTGTATGATTTTGTTGACTTTACTGAGTTTATTTATCACTAAAATCCATTTTTAAATCAATACAGTAAGATCTCAAATCCTTAACGTTCACGTATCTCTACCCAGTGACAAATTTTGTTTCAAGATTTCGTTATGACTCTGTTTTAAGTAGCTCATTAAAATATCAGTGTACAGCGATTTTTAAATCATACAAGAGAATATTCTACATAGCGACCTTGGTATGTTCAAAAGAAAAAATGAAATGTTATCCATTGGAAAAAAATTATGAAACTATCAAAAAATTGTTTTAATTTGACTAGCTAGTTTGATAACGGTAATAATTGCTGTGATTTAGATCTTTTTGATAAGAATGTTGAAGTAAAGATTGTATTTTCATGAACAAATAAGACAATTTGAGCCAATATGGAGAGCCCTTGAATAAATAAACTATAATTCTACAATACATATGTATAAAAACCAGTGTTTAATTTGGATATTAGTTAATTGAATATTCTCAAAACAGTGGGAATCTGTTTGTAGAAAGATTTAAATACTGAAATTAAATCAAATAAAGAAAATATACAAAACGTTAAAACCAAGTCAAACATAATTAATTATTATGTAGCTGTGAAAAAGAGAACAGCCCGCAAAACAATATTGACATAAATGCATTTTTTTCCTTATTTTTTCCCGTACAAATAGTTTATAAAAATAATGAATCTGAGGGATGCACATGCAATAGTTTTGTTGTTGCAACGTATTTCAACAAACTTCGTCGGTTCCATCATCTATAAAGCGTTTGCAAAGCGTCTCTTGATTTTCGAAACATATGCCGAAGTTTATGTCGTTTGTAAACAAATTATGTAAAAGGCAGTATAATAATCAAGTGGTTTTTACTAGGTCAGCATCTCGCGAGACGCAGAGGAGACGAGCGTTATCCTTAGAAGTAAAACCTATCAGGACAGCCAGATCTAAGTAATCTTAAATACTGCCCCTTTATTTTTATTCAGTTCCTCCCAGAAATTTAACTATGACTTTAAAAAGATAATGTAATGACACTATGCCATTACGTCATTCCAGAAAACTCTAGTATTAAATTGTGCTGGGTCATATTTGTGTATATAACTTTGCTATATTTTGTTAATGTATGTACAAAGTGAGACTTAAATTAACAAATTGTCTGGCTTTGTCTTGCATGGAATATCGCGGAATATGTTAAGGTATTATAACAAATTGCTTAATCATGACGTTGAATAAAACGTAATTGAATGTTGTATGTTACGTCAATTAAATATAGATAACGTCAACTGCAGACAAGAGTACAAGTCTGCAGAACGGATCTTAGTTCTTTTCGATACTGGCGAGCGAATAAACCTTCAGATCTTCAGATTTATTTTTTCCCGAAGGTGTCACTGATGTAGTTAAGATCATGTAGCGAGTTTCCTGTTTCTAGCTGTAGAGAGAGAAAGACCAAAGATGGGAGTAAACGTTTGTTATGTTGATGAACGTGTCTTTGATAGAGGGTATAATGAGTGCATGTTCAATACTGAATTTATTGAACGAGTTAAATAGATTTAGTAATGAAGATAAACGAATATAATATTCTTTTTTATCACATATCCAAAATAAGAATTATTAACGGTAAAAAGATCGCTTTTTCATTGAAGCGCTTATAGTGTAACGCCAATATTTTTACCACGTTGTTTTACGTCTTCATGCTCTGTTTGTATAACGCAAATGACGTCATGTCAAAATATGCACGGCGGTGCAATACCGTTTTTACGGAGTCGCAAAAGCAGCACGGTTATGTGGTGCAAACGTTGAAGCGTTATCTATGCAACCTTAACAGAACTGCATAACTATATTCTGATTAAGGTAATCTACCTGTCAAAGGTTCGTATGAGATCAGCCAAATTCGTAATTCTTCGTTATATCATAATTATTTAGAAAGCGTTCGATTCGCATGATATTTAGTTTATCTTGGTCATTTTGAAACTAATTTCAAAACTTCAAAATGAAAAGAAAAGAAATATAAACTGATCAACCGGTGATTTGCTTGAAAAAAGTGGAACTGCTTAACATTTGAACTTTGCAAAATGGTTTTTCGATTGTAGTACGTAATAATTGTAATGAAACGGAAAATGCTGATGAATAAAATGACGTCAGAAGAAGGCATGGCGATGGACAATTGTAATATATCAAAATTAAGCCGTTCACAGGAAGATGGGTGTATTTTTATCTATAATTTATTACATTATCCGGAAAAAAAATCATGCAGGCATTAAGAAAACCCACCTATGCTATACCACAGAACTAATCAATATAGATTTTATAATTTAGCCCAAATGTACTAATCTATTTACACGTAGATGACCAAAGATCACGACGTAACGCCGATACGTTACTTTGATGCCAACTTAATTATTTATAATGCATTGCTATATCAATTTAGAAAAACTACGAAACTGTATTTATTTTACATCTTCACCAAATCTTAAGAGTTGTATGCAATAGTATTCTCAAGTTATTGGTCGGACAAGCTTTAAGAGGTCAATGCCACGGCGACTCTGCCCTCTGACCTTTGACATACTGATAAATACAAATAGTGGGTGTAGCATTTCCAAAAATATATAAAGAAAATGTAAACGGTAAAGGATTCTTATATTAAATTTTGTAAAAAACACATGTCTTGCAATTTCTACAAAGTCTAAAAAATAACGAAAAGTTGATTCCAATAGTCACGAATCCTGAAATGTTTATACAATGTTGATTCACAAGCACTTCGATTTTTCTTTGTAAGATGGTTTTCTTTTCATGTTATCAACCAAATTTTCTATACAAGGTGAAGAAGATTTAATGGATTTTGAAGACGAAATTGTTTTTAATATCATTACGAAGTTTTACAAAACAAACACTTAAATATTTAGAAATGTATAAAAATACGTTCGTGAACTCCATGTAGTGGGTATAAAATGGAAATGTCGATACCTTTAAAATGTTGATATTTTTAATGGGCTTTTAATAGAAGTGTAGTGAATAAAGTGAATCTACAGTACTCGAAGATGATAAATTTTGGGACACTTGAAGGAAAACATTCTTAACTTGTTAAGCCATGAAAGCAAAAAGAAAATTCTTTCGGCTTTACTCAAAGTAAAATATTTATGATGGCGTGAGAATTTTATATTTTACATAATTTACCAATAGTACAGTAGTCTCCCTTGCTATATTAATTATTATTAAAATAGTTGTTTCCCTTATCACAATGGAAATAAGATTAGGCTTACCGTTATTAATAAATTACAATACAATTAAGGTTATATAAAGCCGTACCGCGGATCATTAATATAGTATTTTAATTATTATTAATAATATCTATATTTTGTGAACAAAATCCTTTAGTAACAAAAATTTCGAGTTAGTTGGCACAATGTACAACTGTGCAAAAATATATTTATGAACAAGTATAAGAATTCCATAACAAAAGCTCCAAGAAAGAAAATTGGAGCCTATACATTATTTAGCTATTTGTTTTACTATGGAATGTATTGACAAACAATGTGCCGATACATCTATAAAGATACCTTTTTAGGTCCATAGGAAATAATTCATAGTTAAACTAGTTTTGGACTTTTACATGTTCAAGTTTTTTTCACACGTCACTAATCTACTTTTTGAGAATAACGTTAGAACTTTAACTTTTCATTCCACGTCCTGTAATGTTGTGCAGCAAAGTAAAATAGTTTAACAATTTCATATTCCCGATTGTGAAGAGAGCATGGCACTCCCGAGTCGACTCACTAAAACTAACCAGTACCGGTATCTTACTAAAACTAACCAGTACTTGTATCTTACTGAAACTTACCAGTACTGGTATCTGACTGAAACTAACCAGTACTGGTATCTTACTGAAACTAACCAGTACTGGTATCTGACTGAAACTAACCAGTACTGGTATCTTACTGAAACTAACCAGTACTGGTATCTTACTGAAACTAACCAGTACTGGCATCTTACTGAAACTAACCAGTACTGGCATCTTACTGAAACTAACCAGCACTGGCATCTTACTGAAACTAACCAGTACTGGTATCTGACTGAAACTAACCAGTACTGGTATCTTACTGAAACTTACCAGTACTGGTATCTGACTGAAACTAACCAGTACTGGTATCTTACTGAAACTAACCAGTACTGGTATCTTACTGAAACTAACCAGTACTGGTATCTTACTGAAACTAACCAGTACTGGTATCTTACTGAAACTTACCAGTACTGGTATCTTACTGAAACTAACCAGTACTGGTATCTTACTGAAACTAACCAGTACTGGTATCTTACTGAAACTAATCAGTACTGGTATCTTACTGAAACTAACCAGTACTGGTATCTTACTGAAACTAACCAGCACTGGCATCTTACTGAAACTAACCAGTACTGGTATCTTACTGAAACTTACCAGTACTGGCATCTTACTGAAACTAACCAGTACTGGTATCTTACTGAAACTAACCAGTACTTGCATCTTATTTAACTAACCAGTACTGGCATCTTACTGTATCTTACTTAAACTTACCAGTACTGGTTTCTTACTAAAACTAACCAGTACTGGCATCTTATTCAACTAACCAGTACTGGCATCTTACTGTATCTTACTTAAACTTACCAGTACTGGTATCTTACTAAAACTAACCAATGTGACGAAATTTTGTTAGGACATCAATAGCTTTTGAAACCATTCTCCTGTTGCTAAGAGGTAATCATCTAATTCATTAGACAATCGCCTTAAAATATATTTGGGAAAAAAATAAGATAATAGAAACATAATAAAATGTTTACCTTGTGCACCAATGCTTTGATCTTTAGGTCTCTGATCATTTTTCTCTTCTCAGAGTCGGACCTTTTCATGATTGCAACACGAAAGAAATCGTTCAAAGAAATCCGCCGGTGTAGTTTCTGGATTTCGGCTGTACTGGTAAAGCCTTCCCCAGAGAATTTTCTCTTCGCCTTTGACACTAAAAGAGCAACTCTCCATGATACATCATGTTTGTTTTTCTTTTTAATTCCAGTTTCGATTTCCCCTTGGCTAAGCGACCCCTTTAGGGTCCGTTGTTGTTTTTGGCGGGAAATCCATGAAGTTACCGGAAATGGAAAACTCACACGGCGATCGTCTGTTTCCGGTGATTCTTGAATCGACTTCCTCTCGAGCCTCGGTTTTTGTGAAGTAACAGACGGGAGTGAAAAAACAGACGACACGCGCCTGGTTCCTGAGGTCACATCAGACGACGGTCTAAGGGAGACTGGTGACTGGGTAGTTGA